AAAGCGCGGGAGCCCAGCCACAGATGCCATCGCCAGTGTTCCCCAGTTTCAGGGCTGGCTAGTGCGGGAGGGCTCTCTCTGTCCTCCCTGTAGCACCTCTTTGCTCTTTTTGCTCCGGATCTGGAACAGGATTTCTCAGTGTTTGACAAGCGAGCCCTGACCTCTCACTCCCTGCTGGAAGCCTTCAGTGATGGCCTGTTGTCCTCAGAATGTTCAAACAGAGCTGGCAAAGCCCTTCGTGGTCTGCCCCTAACATGTTCCTTCTGTATCTCTTGGCCTTCCCCTCTGAGCTACTGGCGGCTCCCCTCCCTTGCCTCTGAGCTTTTGTACAAGCCCCCTCTGCCTGGAACTCTCTTTCGCTCCCCTCTTCTTCCAAACTGGCTAATTCCTTCTTCCGGAAGTCTTCTCTGATACTCTCTTTACCCCTCCCCCCAGACGGGTTCTAGGTTCCCACAGTACAGTGACATTTATCCTGCCGCTGTAGGAGGAACTGACAGCCCAACTCCAGCTCCTGGCTCTCACTCCCTAACATCAGAGGGGTACAGTCACAAAAGGAGTTGATGTTGCTGTCCCTGGGCAACCAAGGAAGAACCACTTAAAAATAACGCGAGTCAGGGAGAGCTGCCAGGAAGTGGGTGACTTTGATTCTGCGTCTTTCTCTGTTACAATTGGAATGAGGGGTCAGTCATCCTACCACACTGTCTTGTTCAGGGAATTGCACTTTTTGTGGGATTGTGAACTTCAGCACTAAAATGAAATTATTTATATTCCAGACTCACCTTGAATAGCTCAGTTACCGGTAAGGTTTTGTATATGCAAGCTTCCATCAACTTCAGTATCTCTGCAATGGCCATTGTTGCTCTGCCGTTCTCAATCAATAAATTATCTTCTTTACGTTTTTAGACCAAGTCATTAATATCTTCCCGCCTGGTCACCTGACAATGCATTTTACTTCTTTGTCAGTGATTGGGAAGCCCTTGAAATCATCTACACATTCCACCCCGCACAGTTTCAAGCTGGGTCATGCCTGCTTCTTGCTTGAGGCATTGAAACTGCACACTAAATGGCCGAATTCATATACATTAACTGCACTATGCTTGTATAACTGTTTCTTCCCTATTGTATCCCCAGGGGGGGAGCTGGAAAAGGTTTCACAGTGGGGTGGCTTGGAGGATGGGGCGGGGGTCTGTCAGGCGAAAAGGAAGAGGAGGAGCAGAGGCAGGTGCCAGGTGGGGAGGCGTGGAACAGCTTATGACTGAGGGAGAGTCAGAAGTTCACTGAGGTTAGAGTGTAAGGGTGGGCTGTTCCGGATCTCACACGCCATGTGACTAAATCTGTTGGAGGTGCAGTTTTCTCATCTATTCTAATGGGCATAGTCCCTGCCTTTAGGGCTGTTCTGAGAACTAAGTGGGCAATGCTGTGTAAGCACTCAGTTCAGGCCCTGGCTGCTGTGGCTCAGTGAATTGAGTGCCAGCCTGCAAACCAAAGGGTCGCTGGTTCAATTCTCAGTCAGGGCACAGGGCTGGGTTGCAGGCCAGGTCCCCAGTAGGGGGTATGCAAGAGGCAACCACACATGGATGTTTCTCTCCCTTTCTCTCTCCTTTCCCCTCTCTCTAAAAATAAACAAATAAAATCTTAAAAAAAAAATAGAGACATAGTCAATGAAATAACAAACAGGAGTATAAATAAATAAAGGAAAAACAATTTTTTAAAAAGCACTCTGTTCAGGCTTGACACACAGCGATGCTGCATTAACAGCATCCTTTTCTACCTTCCCAAGAGGAAGGTAAATATCACCCCCGCTCATAGACGTCACCCTATGAGCGGGGGCGATGTTTCAAACATTGAACCACCAGCACAGCCCAGGTACCACCTAGCCAAAACAGATGGAGGTCACAGCCGACCAGCTGCGGGCATTCTTTTGAGGAGATTAAGAAGGAAGGAAGACACAGATACAGGACATCCCAGCTTCCCTGGGAAATGGCTGTTGCCACCCTCTAGGATCTTAGCCGTGTCTAGTCTGTAATAACCCACCTCGAGCCCAAATGAGCTCATTTTGCTTGTATTTGTGGGCACCGTTCTGTGGCTGGCCTCAGTGCCGCCTGCGGGAAAGTGCAACTGGAAGGGAAGGGAAGGGAACTCACGTGCGAAGTGTTTTGTGTGTTCTCTCATTTGAACCTCACTTAGTCTTGGGAGGCGGGCATCGTTAGTTGCATTTTGTGTTGGGAAAATTGAGGCTTCGGTTGTTGGTGATTCCTTAACAGGTGAGACGAGGCTGCTAGCCCTGGGCCATGTTACTCCAGAGTCTGTTCTTTCCTCTGTTACTCCGGAATCCTTCTCCTCTGCAGTGTCATCTTCGAGGGTGTTTACCGTTTCTCACCCCTCCAGCCATCCAACCCACGTTCAAGAAAACAACTCAAAAGGTATGGTTTTATTTCACAGAAAAAAAAGGGACATGCAATACCCAACCCCTAACAAACTACAAACTCTTGGAATACAGAGTAAAAAAGGGAAATCCAACCCGTCTTGATGAGGCAAAAATTTGGTTTCACAAAGCTGAAAAAATTCATTACAAAGTCTCTGTCATATAAATATAAGTCAGTCTTATCTTTAATGTTGAGTCAGACACACACACAAAAAGGGTTTTGTTGGCATAAGAAATCCCTGGTCCTTGAATGTGCCACGGTCTTCGTTTGTCCTCCCAGCCAAATCCAGGTGACATCTACGTGCTGAGAGTCACTTGTGAGTTCTAAGACTTCGGGTAACTAAATGTGGTTTAAACACTCTCTCCCCTGAGCCCGCACTCCCTCCCCCAATAGCTTGTGCAAACCGGTGTAGCCTCAGCGTAGGGGCATAAGGCCGTACGCTTTCCCACCTCCCTGCCGCAGGGGGAGGTAAGTATCACCCCTGCTCATAGACGTCACCCTGTAAGGTGGGGCCGTACCATCTAACGTGTCTCTTCTAAAATCGACTGTGGTGACGGACACACAGTTCTGTGAGCGCACTAAAATCTACTGGATTGCGTATTTTAAGCGAGGAAATTGCATGGTATTTGAATTACAACTTAAAAGAGCTATTGAAAAATACCTAACACGTGTCTAGGTTGCCGGGGGAGCAACAGGCAACCCCTGTAGCGTAACTCAGGAGCTCCCGGCGGGCCACAGGGGAGATCCACAGAAGTCGGTATGGGAAGGGTGAGTAAAAAGATACTTAAAGTATTGTGACTAAATCAGCGGAGTCTGAGGCTGCTCCAGGAGGTATGCAGTTTCAAGATGTCAGAATAAAGAAGTCAACAGGGTGTGTACTTTTCCTACTGCTTCTAGAATAGTCTAAGGATGTGCTGTGGCCTTGGTCACAAAAGCAAGTTATCCATGGGGCACGCAGATGCCCAGGGTGTGGTGGAGGCTGTGGAAAACCTGGGGCTGGAGCTCAGGAGCCAGCTGTCTGCATCCTTCTGGAGAAATTCCAACATGGCCACCGTTTCCGAGAGCCCGACTCCCACAAGAGAAGGGAGAATTGGGAAACCCAAGGAAATGCTTCTAGATTTTTTTGAATCAAAGGCACTGCTCACCTTCAGTGATACCGTTGCTGGCTGGAAGTCACGGCAGGGTTTCTGTTCTCTCTGACCCTGTTCTAAGACCATTTCTGGGACAGCAATGGCTGGTAAGACCAGCAAAGCATTCTGTGGCAGGCAAACCACTTAGAAATGCCTTCTTCGTTCTGTGCCTACCATCTGGCCGCCAGTGGCCACTCAAGAAAGGAGGCAGGTACAAGCCGTGGGCACCTGGGCCCTTGACCAAGAGATGGCCATTCTAGCCTGATAGTGAGGGAGGGAGAATCGTTAGTAGCAGACGCAAAAAGGGAATGTGAACTCTTGCTCCAGTTTTATGGTTCTAGTTCAAGTCCATCCATTAGAATTGGTGTAAAAGTAGAGACAGGGACACAGAGGATGCTCCCTTTACTCATCTTTCAAAAGGGATGCTGCCAGAAATTGGGGTCAGAGGTCTTTTTAGCTTTCTGGCTCACAAAGACCATGAGAGCAGGAACAAGGGGAGGACAGGGGCTCGAAAGTGGGACCAGTCCTGGTTTGGTGAACACCTTGTTCAACTCCCCTCATCTTCCCCTCCTTGAAGACGGATCCGGTTCTTTTGCTGGGGTTTGGGCCTAGGAGTCAGTTCCCTTCCCGCCAGCCTCGAAGTCATTATTCTGCAGCCAAGTAGGAGAATTAGCTCGTAAGCAGACATTCGCCATCTAAGGTCCATTCCCCTGTGGGCTGGACCCCTCGGTGTGGCTCCTTTAAGACTGTGGCCTCCTTGTGTCCTTTCAAAATATGACACCCCTGTTGCACGATATGGCCCAAGGCTCTAGGAATGGGGCACCCAAGGGTGGGGAATTTTCCCCACGGGCAGGGTTGTCATCTTTGTGGGTAAGAGGGAGTAGAACATCTGGGTTTGGAGCTTGCCTAGTTTAGTGTCATAGGGAGGTGGTGAGAGACTTTTGTGTTGAAGTGGGGAGTGCAGACCCATTTTCTTAGTGAGCTTTTCCCTTTGGCTCCAGTGACGATATTTCTCTCTTACTCCAGAAAAGAGAATTAAGTATCTAGCTTAAAGAAGAAAACAAAACCGTCCTTATTGCCTCTCTTTGTGCTTGTCCAGCCTCTCCTTGCCCGGGCCTCGCTCACCCAGCCCCCAGCCTGCCCACTACACTCAGTCTGAGCTGGGGATCCAGGAGAGACGCGTCCAGGCGGCCACAGAGATGGCTCGTCAGGGACACCAACACCCTCGTCACCCAGCTTCTCTCCCAAAGAGAGCACGGGCTGAGGGCATGTGATCAGGGAAACTCCCAGCCGCTTCTGCCCTTAAAGAAGAGGGGAGAGGAGTCGTTTCTGTACTTAAGAAGAGAGAGGTCTTTTCACTCCAGGGCTATAAGAATCACGAGCAGAGGAAGCTCTGGCTCCGGCAGCTGGACCGTTTCGGGAAAAAGCAGGCAAGGGAGTGATATACAAAGAAAGGGTGGGTATATTTGGCAGGTTTGAGGCAAGCAGAGAGGAGGGTGTGGGTTCTCTATAAAAAAAAAAAACCAAAAGATCTAAAATTCAAACTTCTTCGAATAAGGCCACAATGAAGAGATTCCCAGCAGCGGGTGTCGCGGGGAGCTGGCACCCAAATCGCCACAGGCTGGCAAGGTCAAGGTGCTGTGCTGAGCGAGGAGGCCGGGCAGGCGGGGCCGTGCCTCTCACAGGTCCACGTCGGGGCCCCCTGAGGACGTCTTCAGTGGCACCGAGTCAAACCCATCAGGAGTCCTCTGAAAGAGAGATGGGGACAGGAGCTGGCTGCTGCACAGGGACACGTTTGGGAACAAAGGAGAGAAATGGAAAACAGGTGACAGGAGGAACCCTTATGGAATTCCTGCTTTCGGCGGCTTTGTGGAAACTTAGAAATAAGGTACCCTCTATTCTTCTTGCTCCCTGCGGTCAGCCAGAGAGGGTAAGGACAATCTTTACAGCCCTCGGCTTTGCATCTTTGCTGAAGTTCCAGAAAGACTCAAGGGTCCCGGGATAAATTGTTGTCCCACCAGTAAAAAACAAACAAACAAACAAACAAACAAACAAATCAAGGTCTAAGAGGACCAAGGGAGCCGCCCCGGTCGGTCAGCACAGAGGGAACGGGATTCGGCAATCTGAACACCCACACTCCTTCCCTTCATCACACCCTCTCCCATCCTCCCCTCTGTCTTACCACACCCCCTGCCCACACCTGTTTGGATGTGTTGGTTCAGGGCACCAGTGAGGGGTGGGTGCTGGCCAAGTGGGGCTGTAGAGGGAGGGCTGTGGCCCTGGAGGAGTTGCTTGGACGCTCCGTGCTGGCCTCACGCCCAGCGACAAGGCTGTCTGTCTCGCATTTATGAGCTTCAGACTCCCCCACCCACGCGGAGCCAGTGCTCCCGGCTCGGAATTGCTCCGTGCCAACCAGCTGCGACTTAGCTGTGACTCAGCCCCCGAGGGACCGGGGCCAAACACCTGGGGGATGGCACCCTCCACTGGCCAAAGGAGAGCCTCACTTCTATCAGGAGTTGGTCCTAGACATCACCTCTTGCCCTCCCTCCAAAAGAAAAAAAGGGGGGAAGGGATTCTTACAACGTGGATGGTTCAACACTCCTTCTGGAAGTTAAAAGGCCCCAACAGTTCATCAACTGGAGTGCATGTTGGGAGAGAAGGAGCCTGGTCAAGAGCAGCCTTGGGCCCCAGGGAAAGGAGCATCGGTGTGAAAATACAGAGGGCAGAAGCCGGGATTTTCAGGGTGGGGCGACAGAACAGTATGGCAGCCGGGGAGCAAAGTAGCGGACCCCCGAGGCAATGCGGGCCACTCAGTGTCTAGGACTGCTGTCTTCTCCAGCCCTCCAGGCTGACCTCGGCGCAGCGGCCAAGCTCCCTACCTTGGAGGTAAACGACTTGATCTTCCCAAAGAGGGACTTCTTGCTGGTGAAGATGAGGTCATCCTCCACGTCCTCACCTTCCATGATGGCGCAGCTGTCGGCGGCCGGCAGGCCGTAGTCCTTCAGGGACGCGTCCATCACCAGCCTGGAGTACTTGTACTCCAGCCTGCGAAACGGCGTGGGCAAGACAAGACACCAAAGTGTAGAGCAGGTAGAGGGAGGGAGGGAGGGAGGAAGGGAAGGGGGGCCCTGAACAGGTGGCCCCGGGCCATTCGCGGGGAAACCCAAGCCTAGCGAAGGGGCATTGGGCTGGGCACACAGCTGAGCAATCCTGGCTCCCAGATCAGTGGTCTTTCTCCCTTAGAGCTGGCTGTTTCCTTGACTTCAAGGCTTAAAAGAAATACTGGAATCATAAGGTCATTTTTATTACTAATAACCACAAATTAAGGATACGCTTAGCTTTTCTTTTGAGAATCTAACAGCCGTCTAGGCTGCTGCATGGTACCGCGTCCTGTTCAGGAGTCGGGACAACCAAGGCATGTGCTGTGTCTCAACAAGTCCCTGGCCGGAGCCCCGGGGTCTGTGGCCAACTCCAGGAAAAAGCCCATGAATTTATCCTCTCGGTTGATCTCCCGGCCCGGTGATCCAACCCTATCCACCCCCAAACTCCAACACCCCACCATCACGTACTTTTGGTTCTTTTTCCAAAAGTAGCAGGTCAAGACGGTGAGCAGGATGGCAGTGCAGGTGCCCGCGGAGATGCCCACTTTCAGCCAGAAATCGATCGTTTTGCAGATGGTGACTCTCGGCTCCGGCAGGGAGATGCCACTCACGCACAGCTTCGGCTCCCGCCACACATAGGTGGTCTTCTGTTGGGGAGAAAACCAGGGAACTCGCACGCCACACCCCCTTCTCTTCCGGGACGTCTCCAGGCAGAGAAACCTACCTGCACCCCAGCCACGCAGCTGCTGGTGATGGCGTGGTAGTCGGCGGCCGAGCAGAGCGGGCAGGCGGCCGCACTCTCCCACAGGAAGTGGAAGTTGCAGCCGTCACAAGTCCCGCCGGAGCACGTGCTGGACAACAAAGAGGAGAGGAGACTTCAGCTGCCTCGCCGGACAGGTGGGAAAGGTCTGCTCGGAGTCCTGTCACCCCAGAGCTCGCCTCCCTCACCCATCCTCTCCCGGACAAACTACGCGCTCCACCGGGATCCTCCCAGCTGGTCCTCAATCCAGTCTTGCTCTCTAATTTCCCTGGTGACAAGAGGCATTCCCGGCCTCCACCGGGCCACGCCCTGTGCTTGTTTCTGCTGACGTCAGCCGAGAGCTCAGACAGGGCGTCTAGCTCTAGCACGCCGCCCCAGCCAACCCCTCAGAGGCTGCTGTGCTCCCCGTGGACATGGGGCATGTCGTGGACGCCACGGTGGTGCAGCTTCCTGGCGGCGGGGCTGAAGAATGGAGGTCAGGTCAGGGACTATCTGTCATTCGCTTTCCTGTGATGTCGAGGACGACGACAAAAGTGGTCTTACACTACTGGGTGGGTTCCCTGTCCTGCTGCACTACCCACCTTCCTGGCCTCCTGTTTAGGGGAAGCATTTCCCAAACCGGCTTCCTCAAGGCATTAGTGCCCCTTGTGGTGTTAATGGCTGTTACGTGGGGAAAAAAGGTGGGGGCGGGAAGGGGGCTGTAGTCAAATTAGTTTGGGAGTTCTCAATTCAGCGCACTCAGCTGTTAGACTCAGCATTGGATCTCTCAGTCGTGGAGAGATTTCTAGGGCTCCCCTACGCCTTTTTCCATCCTAATTATAGCGAGTGCACGCCGAGCCTCCGGAGGAGTCCTCGAGTCTCATCGTCTCATTTCACTCTCACGAGAACCCCCGGAGAACGCCTCCTAGTATCCCCATGTTATAAATAAGGAGAAAGAGGCCTGCGGAAGATGAGAAACGGCAGTGGAGGAGATGCATCCCCTCCAGCTCCCCGTCGGCCACCTGGCTCTGCAGCGCCCCACACTGGTCTGGGAACGTGAAGGCAGCTTCCACCCTTCCTTCTGCCCCATGCTTGACCCGAAGGTTGAGGGCTGGGAGCATGGCCGTGCCCCCAAGAGCCCGATAATGAACCTCAGGACTGTTTTCTCTTTTGCTCCTTTGGTAATCTTTGGCTTCTGGGACGCCCAAGAGTCCGAGGAAGGGCGACTTCGTTGTCCCTGTACCTGGGCAGGGACAGACTCCCGGGGGCGGGCTTCAGCGGACTGCATCGGACTCGGATGGTGGTCGATCTCCCGGAGCTGCAGGACTGAGTCACCTCGCTGGACCTGCAGGGAGAGCCAGGCCCCCGCGGGGAGTGAGTCACTCATTTGGGCCACTGGAGAGTCACTAAGTGAGGTCAGCGTGGAACAGATCCCTTGCTGAGGAAGTCAGGGCTTGGGCTGGACCTGACGCACAGCGGGTACACAGGCCTTGGTGCACCCTTGGAGAGGGCAGGGATAAGGATCTGGTCGAGGGGCAAGGCGCAGTGTCCTGGGAAAGGTCAGCGTGTGCAGCACACCGGAGTGTCCTTGGCTGGAGAGGGAAGCCTGCAGACCATCCAGGAGTTCTCCCTGCCTCCCCCGCAGACCTGCCCCCAGGAGCACCCAAGAAGCTGGGGTCAGGGACCTCCCCGCCTTCGGCTGTCATTGCGGGGCAGTCCTGTGAGACCTTGGACATGTTCAGGCTTCGTAAGTATTAAGCAGCTGAAGAGTGGGGGATGCAACAGACACTGTGGAGGAGCCCCCAACTTCCCTTGCATTAGCCTGGCCTCACACCTTCACCTGTAAAAGAAGATCACGTCCGGTATCCCCAAGGACGCCGGGGGGAAGAGTTCCGCTGGGGAGGTGATTCCATCCAGGGTCATATCCGTTGTCACCCCTGCCAAACCAGGGCCCCTAGTTAGTGCTCACTAGTAGCAGTAGCTGGCAACGACTTCGGTTCTCTCAGTGCCCGCCAACATCCAGCCTCCCCTCACCTCCTCACACCCCCGGGCGGCTCATGGAAGGGTGAGCCGCAGGTGTGCTGGAGGCCCCGGGGCACTGGGTGCCCTGGGCCGGAACAGAACACAGGCCGGGCCGCTGGGCCCCTCCTCTGGGACCCTTTGCCTTAGAGCCTGGTAGCCTCGCTCTGGCTTCCATGCACACGCACTCACGTGGGGCGGAGCAGCTGGGGCACTCACCGATAAGCTGGTCGGCGAGGCTGACAGGCTGCAAGGACACTCCAGCCTTGTAGCCTGTCACCTCTGGAGGAATGATGAGCACCTGGCAGACGTAGGCTGTGATGGACTTGGAGAAATCCGACTCGTCCTCAGGAATCCGGAGGTCGGTGACATTGTTGGTGCACACAGACATCTTCTTACCCTGGGATGTGGCGGGGGTGCGGGGGGGGGGGAGAAATGGGAAGGAGTGAGTGAATGGTCACAGAACTCCCAAAAGGGAACAGGGAACAGGTGTTTTTTTTAAATGTTTAAAAATTTTAACCTTCTAATGGTATGTTGCCATGGAATAATTCATCCCAGATCTAATTATAAGTAGCTTAAAAAAAAAGTGCCCTGGCTGGTGTGGCTCAGTGGATTGAGTGCCGGCCTGCAAACAAATGTTGTTGGTTCGATTCCCGGTCAGGGCACAAGCCTGGGTTGTAGGCCAGCTCCCCTGTAGGGGGCACGTGAGAGGCAACCACATACTGGTGTTTTCTTCCCTCTCTTTCTCCCACCCTTCCCCTGTCTAAAAATAAATAAAATCTTCAAAAAAAAACCACTAAAAATAAGGCCTAGGTGTCCTGGTTCCTGGCACTCTGGCTGGGGGGACCCCAGTTGTTTTGTTTCGTTGGAGTCACGTGGGGACGCTTTGTGAGCAGGGCTGTAACGATGGCAGCCAATCAGGAGATCTAGTCTATCGGGCCTTCCCTGCTGTAGTCAGTTTGCTGGACAGACACGGAAATACGGACGTGCTCCCCTGAAATCTGTGATCGTCCGACCTGGTTCACAGCCCTGCGCTGCGTCTCCCTTCGTGGGGTGACTCCACCACGCTTGTCTCGGAAGCACTTTCCAGACAGAAACTTCCAGGGGTTAAAACAGACCCCATAACCAGCCCCTCCCCTGCCCTGAGACAGGACATCATAGGGCTAATCGGAACCTATTCTATTTTTAAAAATATCGTCAAGAGAAGACAGTTGACTTCTCCTTCAGTTTTTAGTGACCCTCATGGTGTAGGGAATCTGGAAGATGATGGGAGTTGAGACTCTTTCCTCAAAATCTTGAAATAGAGGAAATATAGAGGTATTGTTCCCTCAAATATATTAAATGTATGAAATACCAATATAGAACTTGTTTGCAAATATAAAACTACTTGTTTGATATTTTAAATGCAAGTGGATTAAGCATTCAGAATGTAGGGTTTTCAATATTATACATTATATTACAAATTGAGCTAAGTTGCTAAATTTGATACCTTAGTTTATTTTTTAGATTGCAAGAATGAAGAATATGAGAGCAGAAAGAAACCTTTAAGTATAATAAAATGTAGTAATACTGTCTTTGAACAGAGGGTCTGTAGTGTGGCAGTAACAGTAAGCATTTCTGAAAAGAATGAAGGAACAAAGCAAAAGGACAAAGAAAAAAAAGATACAAACTCCAAGTTCCCCATCATCATCTCTCCCAATGAAACATTTACTACGTGGGGTTTTAACTAGTCTCAATTCCCAAGTTTTCACTGTCACTTCTGAGCCTTTAATTTCTTCAAATAGTTAAAAAAAAAAAATAGAGAGATCTGTCTCTAATCGTTCACGGATTACGTTATTTCTTGACACGTTCCCTTATAAACACAATTCGACTTTTGCGGGGATGCTGCAGACTATAGGTAGAAGCCAGGTGGCGTCAAGGCCATAGCTCCACACAGGATCACACACTAAATGCCCAAGATGCTCTTTATTTTGTAACATCAGAAACTTCACTTTCCAAAGGCAAATCCTGGCTTGTTTGTAATTTAATCAAGTGCTACAGTGGTGTGGTTACCTTGAGTTTTGGGTACAAAAGATTTGCAGCAGCATGAAATGACTGGTGGTAACATTCTTTCCTCAGCACATAAGTAAGGGCTTTCATGTTACTTTCTTTTCTACTGTCGGCAAAGGTATACATGTAGAGGAAGCAAGAATAATTTGTTTTATCTACCTTCTAGAAAACAAGTGACAAGTGCCATGATTACTGAAAAGTGCTTGCTTTCTTTTTTAAAAAAAGATTTTATTTATTTATTTTTTAGAGAGGGGAAGGGAGGGAGAAAGAGAGGGAGAGAAATATCCATGTGTGGCTGACTCTCGCATGCCCTCTACTGGGGATGTGGCCTGCAACCCAGGAATGTGCCCTGACTGGGAATTGAACCGGGGACCCTTTGCTTTGCAGGCCCCTGCTCAATCCACTGAGCCACCCAGCCAGGTGAAAACTACTTTCTTAAGGGAAAAAAACCCCTTCCTCCTTCATAGTTTCTAATACACTCATTCTGAGGGAATGAAGGTCAGGGAGGAGTACGTGGACACCTTACTTCAAACACTTTTATTTCCTAAATTTTAAAAATCCAATAGATTTCATTTTAAAGGAGAGAGTGCTCAAAGAGAATAATCATCATTTAAAAACCTCCCACCTCCTCCATCCCCTGCTGCCAGAAGTCTCAGGTGGTAGCTTTTCTTCCGTGTCCATCTCTGGCCACCGACCCCCAGGTAACGTCTTCCAGTTCCCACACCGTCAGCGCTCGCACGCCTTACCTGGTTCCCGCAGAGGCTGAAGGTGAAGTGATGGAAGTATTTCAGCCCTTTGGAAGTGAAGCTGGGCCCTCCGGCCAGAGAGACGGTGCTGGCCAGGGCCGAGAAGTTGTAGTCGAAAGTCCTGCTCCGAGTGCCGATGGAGAAGGTGCAGTCGTTGTAGCACAGGGAGTGGATCTGAGGGGAAAGGGGCCGTCAGGCCAGCTGCTGGGGCAGGGCCCCCGAGGGGGCGGCCGCGGAGGCCCAGCCCGGCCCAGCCCAGCCCAAGTGCGGTCCTAGAAGCGAAGGTGAGGACTGCAGGCAGGTGTTAACAGAAATGGAGCAGTGGCTGGTGGTGCTCCTGTGCATCTTGCCTGCCTTTCAACTGTTAGCACAGATGTGATGTTCAAACCCAACCCTGTTATTCTTCAGTAAGCAGTTGGGTCAGACTCTATAGCCTCGTCTCCAGGCTGAGATCACAGAACTCTCTCAAGGCCCAAGACAGCCCTTCCTACCTCCAAGCAGAGCAGAAGACGAGGTGCTGCCTGGAAGAAGCGTGTCCGGGACGGCAGGAGAGCGACTACGAGCCCGACCCTCCTCTCACTTCCAGCTCACAGACCCCTGCCTCCCCCTCCCTGGGTCTCCGTAGAGAACGGCCCTCAGAGGGGGCTTCGTTCCCCGTAAACCCCTTCCTTGCTGCATTTTAGGGTCCTCATTCAGCAGCCGCCTTACACAGCTGTCATTCCCTCCCACAGCAGCAGAGGGAGCCCCAGGAGAAGCTTGTGGCAAAAGTCCAGGGTGCCCCCCAAAAGGTTGCCAGGGGTCTGTAGAGTTGTTGCAAGTACTGAACTGCTGAACTGAGCGGCGTTTGCAGACTGTAAATAATGCCTTTCAGACGTACGTCCGTGCGGTTGTGATTGATAAAATACAAATTCACTTGGAAGTATTAATGACTGCTAGAGGGCTTTTAGTAATAGTACCCTCTTAGGTTCATACAGTACATGGCCAATAGCAGTTTTTCCACTTTACAGGAAACGAATGGGGGGAGGACAGCAATGCCAGGTGACCGTACGTCCCAGCAAAGGTGGGCTGCCTTCCTGGAGGAGAGGGGGCAATGCCTGTGATCCTAGGCTGGAGTGAAGCAGGTCTGACTTTGAGCTGTTTCTCTCCTTCAGGTCTCTCTGCACAGATGCCAAACAACCCCCCAGCCCAGGCGGTCACAGATCTCCCTCACCCATCCCTGGAAGAGGAGACCCACCCTTGACGGAGGCCCAGACCCCGAAAACCAACAGCTACAGGTAAGAACTCGCCATCCCGGTCCCAGCCTGGATGGCCGTCCCCCAGGACTTCACCCTGGGAGCATGCTGTGGGCGGTTCTTGGGGATCAGCCCCTCGAGACCCCCCCAGTCTAGCTCTGGCACCCTCCCTCGGAGGCGGTTCGCCAGAGGCCAAGGCCAGGATGCGTGGCATGCTGCTGGCACCTTGTTGCTCCTGGTCCCTGGGCCGCAGGGCCTGCAGGCCTGGACGCCGTAGGGCTGGTGGGCTTTCAGGACGGTGTTCGCGGGGCAGGGCCGGCAGGTCCCCGAGCCGCGATCGATGTAGTTGCCGGCAGGACAGGAGGTGCAGGAGGAGCCCAGGTCGGAGGCCTCCAGGGCGCAGGGCCGGCAGTAGGAAGCCACCCCGTTCATGACATTGGTGACGTTGATGGAGTAGATCTTGGCGACGTCGTTGGTGTACTTTCTGCCCTGGAAACAAGGAGACGGGAGGAGCGCGGGTAGAGGCCTGAGACGCCAGCTGCAGCTGAGCTCTCTGGGAGTCGTATATTACCGCCTCATCTTTTCATCCTGCACTACTTGGGGAAAATCGATAAGCATCCTATTCCTTTTACTCACTGAACAGTACCTCTTTATGTACATTTTGTGTCATTTTAAAGCAAACTCGAACCATTTAAAATGATGTATTAAAATATTAAGTGCCATGGGGAAATAAGCAGTAGATACTGGTATATGGGAAGAGCAGGTCTTTTCCCTGCGAAAGGAGACAAGTATTTGCAGAGTATCTCCTGGGTAGGGGATACTCAGATGTTAACTGGGGTATGTCTAGGTGGTAGGATTATGCCTGATTTATTTCATCTTTTTGCTTCTTTCTACCTTCTGAGTTGTCTGCAATTAACCTGCATTACTCTGAGCCAAGAAAATAGACCCAGAGTTATTATTATTAAAAACAGTATCAGAAATGCACAGGGTGTACCGGGGAGGCACCACACGTGTCCTCAGGGGGCTGCTGAGGAGAGACAGGTAATTCAGGGAGCTTACCTGGGCGTCACCTGGACAAGGCTCGATGCTTTCTCGGGGGGCTGCAGTGGGCAGTTCTCTGGGGGACTCCTTCGGAACCTTCTAACCCTTGGGTTCTGAACGGCACACTCCTACCTTAGCTACTACCGGGGACCCTCCTGGGTGCGGAGGTCCCTCCTGGGGGCCAGAGATCTGAGGGAGGGGAGGGACTTACTATCTCATGGAAAGTGGTTCTCTGGAAGGCCCAGGTGAAGGTCATGGTGGCGTTCTTCTCGATGATGTAGGTGAAGGACTGCTTGCCCTTGGAGCCTTTCCACGTCTCCACGGGAGTGTTGGCCCTAGAGTTGGCACCCTGCACCCCAGACCGACGAGTGAGGAAGGCACGGAGGCTGGGCGGCTGCTGGGGCAGAGGGCGCTCGCGCTGCTGCCACCCTGGGGCCATCGCGGCGCCCAGACCCGCGCTCGGCTGGGGGGTCCCTGGTGAGGTCTGGGCCCGTCCTCTGTGAAAGCCCATGAGCAGGGGTGTCCACTGTGTCGATGCTGCCAAGGGGCTGGGGGGGCCAGCCCCCCGCAATAGCCCGCCCTGGGAACCCCAGAGCAGGCAAAGGAGAAAAGACGCACCACCATGAAGTAGAGCTGGCAGTCCACGGAGCAGATGGTCTCGAAGACGAACGTGACCCTGGCCACCTCTTTATTCTCTGTGTCGGCCGTCACTGCCTGTGGAGGCCTGAGGGTGGGAAATTAAAAGTCGGCGCCGGAGGCCTGAGGTTGGGAAATTAAAAGTCGGCGCCAGAGGCCAGCCGGCGCTGACCGAAGAGCCCAGAGGCCAGCAGAGGGTCCGCTGGGGGACAGGGTGACGTTCTGAGCATGCTGGAGAGAGCACGGACGAGGTCCAGTTCTGCCATCGCAGCTGTGTGACCTTGACATAGCCAGACTGTGGTGTTCTCATCTGTGAGGTGGAGGTAATAATACCTTCCTTACTTACCTCTCATCACTGTGGTGAGATCTAAGGCCATAGCGGGTGTGGAAGTGCCGTGTAAAATACAGGCCCCCAAGCAGAGTGCGGCCCCTAAACCAGCAGCGTCACCATTGCCTGGAGCATATTAGACACTCAGAACCTCAGGCCCCTCCCCAGGCCCCCTGGATCAGAATCTGCACATTCACAAGGTCCCTAGGTGATGCAGATGGGCATTAAAGTTTGAGAAGCACCACTGTCATAAGGTGTAAATTGTCTATATTCCCTTAGCAGTTCACTCTCTAGGATAGTGGGAGCTTTGCCTGGGTTGAATGAGCAGACATTTCAATGTGTAACCTCTTCGGCAAAGGTCTCAGGGGGGTCCTTCCTTTGGGGAAGAGAGAGCCAGGCACAAAGCTAAGGGGGTGGAGAAAGGGGGTGGGTGGGGCAGTGAGTGGGGGAGGGGTGGAAGCCTTTATTATGGTGATCAGATTCGAAAGTTGGAAAGTACTTATGGGAACATTACCCCCCAAAAGCCTAAAAAGTGTTGTTATATATCAAACATGAGATATATCTCTCAGCCTTGAGTGATATAAATGAAGGGAAGGGAAATGAGCACCTCCCAAGCCGCTACCCTGGCCTGAGCACCGTCCCGGGGTGGAAAGGAGGGGGGGCTGAAGGGGGGAATAGAGAAGCCAGACTGGCCATCGGGCTGCCCCTTCAGAGGCCTCCCCTTGTGTTTTCAGTGCACGTGGGCAGAAGAGTCCACTTTGGTTTTGGAAATCCGTTTGTGGCTTTTTCCTGGCGTTGGCCATTTCTTAAATTCTGAGGACGTCCGGGTCCCAGCTCCCGTCTGCAGAGCCGTGTCAGCGAAGGGACTGGGAGAGCCGTCTCGCCTGAGCCAGCCCGGGGTCCCCCTCACGTCACAGACCAGGCGCCTGGAGCCCACAGGGGCCCCGCGAGCCTCCCGAGGCCACAAAGCCAGGCAGCGGCGGAGTTCAAGCGCCCGGTTTTCCGGCCCCGGGCTCACTCCACTGCACCACACGGTCTGCGGTACTTTTTTTTTTTTTTAAGATTGTATTTATTTATTTTTAGAGAGGGAAGGGAGGGAGATAGAGAGAGAAACATCAATGTGCGGTTGCTGGGGGTCATGGCCTGCAACCCAGGCATGTACCCTGACTGGGAATCGAACCTGCGACACTTTGGTTTGCAGCCCGCGCTCAATCCACTGAGCTACGCCAGCCAGGGCTGCGGTACTTTTTTAAACGGCAGACTCACGGCTGTTGTGCTAGACCTCCTTGGAATACGGGGACAGACGGGACGGTGAGCATGACCCCTCTCAGCCTCCCGGCCCCAAACAAAGATGAGCTGTCTACAGGCACTTCTGACCCTATTCAAAAACAACTTTTAAAAAGCCTTATCGGGTGCTGTGAGCAGGAAAGGTTTAAGTAGCAAGTGGCCAGTTACAGGCAGACGCCGGAGGGGACGGGAGAGGGGCTGGCAGGCAGCTCGGGCGGGCGCGGGCTCCCTCTGGAGAGCCGTCCACTGCGCTCCCTCGGCGGAACCCGCTCTGCCTCAGGCCAGAGCGTTCTCCCACCGCCTCTCCCCGCCACGTGGGGGGGGCGGCGGGGGGGGGCATGGGCGTGGCCGGCGTGGCACGAGCTTTCCCCCAGCTCTGCATGCCTCACCTAAACCCTGGCACAACCAGGGTCAGAATCATGAAGTCGTTGTCTGAGGCTCCCACGGCTGTGTAAATGTGGTCGCCGGCCACCTCCCAGCCTGGGGAAGGAGAGCAGAGAGTCAGCGCCCCAGGGGTGCCGGGCGCAGGGCTCACGTGCACCCCTGACGCTCTGGGGGAGATGACACTGTCCCCTGAGGCACCCGGAGCGCAGGCTGTGTGGTACCTATCCCCCTGCCCCCCGCACTGTAGTCAAAGGCCCCGAAGCTCTCAGGGCAAGGCCTCTGGGACGTGTGCCTGCTGCTTCTAGCTCAGTTTCTGTCTCTGACACGGAGATTCGGCAGAATATTTGCCCACGTAGAGTGGAACTTTCCAGGGCATGTGTGGCCTGCTCAGCTCCCTTCTCCTCCAGACACCACCAGTTTGCAAACGCGACGCTGGAAGGGCCGCTGTGGGCGTGCAGGGGGCTGGGGGCCCGAGGTCAGGGGGGAGGCCCTTACCCGTCATGCCCTTGTACTCAAAGTTGATCCCACTGAGAACGGTCGTTTCCATGTTCGTGGGCAGCGTGTTCCACCATTTGTACTCGAATCCCACGACAGGCTCCGTCCCAGCTGGGCAGTGGCTACAATCTGGGGGGACCACAAGATCCAGGCCTTCAGCAAGGAGGCTGCGGCCCCCCCCCCCCCGACTGGAGCCGCTGACACCCAGACGAGTGGCAGCAGTCCCGGGCAGCCAGACAGAGGTGCTGAGCACCACTGTGCAGCTTGGCAGTGTTTTTAACAAACCCGGCCCGCAAACACTGACCCCTCCTTCCCGCATTGCAGCTTTCCTCCTTGCCCACCTACGTTTTCCTTTCCAAACTTAAATGTGTCTTCTAGCCTGACCCCCATAGTTCAAGTTACTGGTCACCTCTGAGCAGTAAACTCATTCGCACGAACAGGTGCACAGGCTCCCCCTGACTGCTCTCTGCAGCCTGGCCTGTAGGTTCGTGTGCGTCCGGCTGTCTGTCCCAGCTTCCCAGACCTTCTGGAGGGCATCCCTGCCGCACGCCAGAGGCCCCTGCGGCGAGGAAGGGTACCCGCAGGCCCAGTTCCCGTCGCAGGCGGGGTGAGAGAAGCAGGTGGTGTTCCCGTGTGACGGTGACTCACAGACACAGCCCCCCCCGCCCCCCGACTGCTCTTCTCCTGAACTCAGCCCCGGGCCACCCAGCCCTCACCGCCTCCCTCGGGGTTGGGGGGGGACAGCTGACCACCCTGCACGCCCCCACGGCCCGCTCTCGTGGGTGCTGTGGGACGGATGGGGTGTGGGTCGCAGGCGGCGGAGGGGTTACCGGAGCCATTGGAGTACGACCCGTAGGGGCAGGGCTCGCAGGCGCTGCGGTTGGTTTTGAAGAAGCCGGGGTTGCAGGGCGGGCAGCGGGTCTTCACGCCGGAGGCGGGCAGCGTCACCGCCCCCTCGAGGTCCTCGCCGCAGATTTTCGGGTGGGCCCATTTGTACGTGAGCTGCGTCTGCGGAAACAGAGCGAGAACGGCTCAGCCCGCGTGCACCTTCACGTGTCTTCAGGACAGTTTATCTCGGGGGCGGGGAGACTCTGGGCTACCACGAAAGCACCTCCAGTGCGGGGATCTTCGTTTTGGTGGCTGATGTGTCTCAAGCACCTGGCCCAGTTCTGGCACGTGGTGGTGCTCAATACATGCGTGTTGAGTGCATGTCGACTGGACGCAGAGGGACGTACCGAATGAGGACGCGTGTGACGGGGTGGGGGCACCCATCATCTCCGGAGGAAGCTCTGATTCCCACGCGGAACCTTATGACTGCCAAAGCCACAGAGACGGTGGCTGGTAAACCCCAAGCACCACAGGCACTGAGTGGGGGTGGCCTACCTAAGCCCTGGGGAAAGAGGGGGTGGCGGAGGTGTCCCGTTTGTCTTCCGGGTGTTTTCTTTGCCTTTTCATTTATTCAGTAGACATTTATGGAAAGCTAATACGTCTCTGTGTCAGACCTGGTGGCTGAGAAACGAATGGGAGGGGCACGGCCCTCGCCCTCTGGGAGCTCACCATCGAGCGACTCAGTGATAACGACCCCCGTGGGGCGTGGGCACCGTGTCCTGGGGCATCGGGGCAGGAGGGGCAGCGCTGGTCAAAGGGCACACACTTCAGCTACAAGACCACGCAGTTCTGGGAACGTGAGGTGCAGCACGGTGATGACAGTGTATGGTGCAGTTTTGTGTACTGGAGAGTCGCCGAGAGTGTCGATCCTAAGGGTTCTCGCCATGAAGAAGAAAGGGCAATTACGTGATGTGACGGAGGTGTTAGCCGACACTGTCCTGGTCATCATTTTGCAGTGATGTAAGTGCATCAGATCAACATGCTGCACGCCTGAAACTTGCACGGCAGTTACAGCTCAGTAGCACTGGGCAGGGCGGGGTAGGGGAGAGGAACAGCCGTTCAGGGTCAGTGGGCGGCAGAATCAGCACACCGCAGACCTAGGAGCCCTGGGCCCAAGTGGGTGTGCGGGGGTGGGGGCTGGAGCAGAAGGGAGGAGAGACATCCACCTGCAGCCACGTGGTGTGCCCACGTGGAGAGGAGGAGAAGGCTGTCCTCCTGTAATCAGTGAGCCAACTGAGGCCAAGAAATGACCGTTTTGCAAGGTCACACGGACACCAGACACTGCCGGCCTGAGTCTGAGGTGCAGCTGCTAAGCTACACAGCCTTTCTCACTCGGCTGCTGGGGAAGGAGATGATGCTCCAGCCGTGAGGGCGGGGGTGGGGGTGGGGGATGAGAGATGACTGTGGAAAACAATCACTGCTAAGGACCAGCCTTTATCCTGCGCTCAGTTAGCAGAAGAATTCAGCCAGCCAGCCAGTCAGCCAGCCAGCCAGCCAGCCAGCCAGCCAACGCTGATGCATGCATGCTAATAGCCAAGTCTGTGCTCGGTGCCGAACGCAGATTTCCCGACTCCCAATTCTCTCTTCTGGAGAAGCCCTGCTCCAGAGATGCAGACAGTTCATCAGAGCGTCTGACCCGAGACAGACCCTTCCTCGGGGCCTGTGAGCCCCGGCCCTGCTCACCGGCTGCTGGCCCTGGCACTCCCAGCGCAAAGCCTGCCTCCTCCGTCACAGCTGGCTGTGCCCTCCGCCTGGACAGAGCTGCGGCTGCCCCCTCACCCCACTCAGGTCCCTGCTCAAGTGTCACCTCCCCTGAGAGGCCTTCCCTGCCCGGGGTGTCCTGGTCACTCTTCTGCCGGGGTCCCCAGCGCCCCTACATCTTGTTGCCTCGGTCAGGCCCATCTCTCTCCTGCCTCCACGCTCCCCGAGGACAGGGGCCTGCCTTAGTGTCCCTGATTCCCCTCTGGAGCTCCGTGCCCGGCACAGCGGCTCATCCTCAGAACACGCAGGCTACCAAGGAAGGCCTTTCTGCGGCGGCGCAGGTCCTGGGGGGAGAGGGAACCGACGGAGAGCGAGCCAGGAGGGGGGGCAAGTGTGATGAGCTCCGTTAGGAGGCAGGTGTGCGCGGGCAGGCAGCCGTTGTCCAGAGGGGCTGGACAACAGAGGTGCTGGACAAGCAAATGGAAGAAATCGAAAGAAGACGAAACGGCTTTTTGAAACAGAGCCTATGGGAATGGGGCGGTGGGGGGACAAGTGCAGCCCGACAGTGTCGGGCCTGAAAGTGAGTGAGGCCGTCTGGTTTTGCCCCCACGGGCCCCCGCGTCACCCTGTAGGTCTCTGGGGTCTTCTCTGGTGCCAGGTTCAGGGGCCGCTGACACTCCAAGTGTGGCAAAGCCCAGGGCGCGGGCAGAGGGGCTTGAGGCCGTGCCACCCACCTCTCCGTTGGCGTCGCAGGCCGTGTGCGTGTAGAAGTAGTCTTTGTCGGTGCAGGCCGGGCGTCTTTTGCAGGAAGAGGATCCTTTCTCTAAAACCGCAAAAGGAAGGACAAACATTCAAAGTTACATAGGGAAGCAGAGTTCCTGACCACTTGGTCACGACCCAGGGCCCCCCAGACCCTGGGGTATGGCACACACAGGAATTGCCAAGAGCGGAAAAGCCGGCACACTGACCCTTCCCTCGGCCTCAGAGGCAGAATCTGTAGTCTGAATGGGTTCCTGAGCCTAAAGCCAGGCTCAGTTCGCCCCGTGCAGCCCTCCCTGCTGCTGCTGCTGAGAGACCACGGGGCCGCACTGTGGAGAAGGCCACCGGCCAGAGGACCAGCCGTGAGGGCGGGTCGCATCCCACACGTAACCACCACCAACCCGAGCTCCCTGAAACCCGCCGCCTTCCAGGCGCCTCGGCATCCCGACTGCACGTGGTTCCTACTCCTGAAGGACCGAAGTGAAACAGGGGAGCTTAGGGCAATGTCTTCACGCTCCTGTTCTCACTCTTTCTCTGACTTTTTTCTCCAACATTTTCCTTCCACTCCCCTCGGCCCCCAAGCGTCCCGGCACTCTCTCTGCACCCGATGAAAAACCACTTTGCTTATTCTGTCTCTGTGTGCTCCTCATGTCTGGGTTCGTTCTGCTTTAACTCTGTAAACACCCGGAGAGCAAGGACGATTGCAGTGAATCCCTTTTTAAAGCAATGGATTTCACTTTTTTAAAATTATGCACCCCTTTGAGAATTTGGGGGGGAAAGATCTGTTTTCTCTATCCAGAAAAATATACATAACCCATGCATTAAATTTCCAAGAAATGTCCTGTCCCCAGAGTAAAAATCCCTGCTTTGTAGAATGCCGGTGCAATACTAGGACTGCTGCTGTCACCACTACTCCCAACGTGACTGCAGTGTCACCTGCAGGTGAGCCTTCGATGACAGGAGACTGCCTCCCTCTGTTGCCTGACCGGCATACGGCAGAGTGGAAGGAGGCGTTAAGTCAGACCCGGGTCTGGATCCCACTTAATCATTTAGTAGCTGTGTCACTTCAGGCAAGTGGCTTGCCCTCTCTGAGCCCGAGCACTCTCAGATGGAGAGCAGGAGCAACGATATCTCCTTGGGTGGAGCCAGTGCACCCGGCACATCCTAAGTAGGGACTCACTCAAGGCTGGTAACTCTTACTGCCTGGGTGTGTGAGGATTACTTTTATTTGGTAACTGTCATGGGATTTTTAGTAAGGATTAAAAGTCTCTTTCTCTCCCTTCCAGTCAAGGGCTTATTTCTCAACTGACCTCTTCTTCTTTCCGAGGCACCGAATGGGTTCCTAGATCAGAACATTCCCCAGTTACCGCCGTGCCGGCCTGCATGGGGGCGTGCCCACAGCCGCGCATCCCCGCGCCTCTTCTGTCCCCGTCTTACTAGCTTGGGCAAGAGGGAACTGCTGGCTGAGAAGCAGCCGGGGTCTCCTCAGCTCACTGGCTTGGTTAACAGCAAAAGGCCCAGCTCAGCAAGAGAAATCAGGGACTCCTGCCTTTGACCGACTTGGTCAGGAGAAACTTGGGGGGAGAGGCTGAAAACACACCAATTCCCAGAACCTTGTGTATGGGGTCCGGCAAATTGCAAGTTGCCTGTTAGAAGGTGCCTTCCCCTCAGGGGCCTTTCTCTGCTGGTCAAATATTTGCTCAGCCCAACACTCTAGCTCCGGGTTTCATCAGGGACGGTCCAGCTGTTCACACAGCGACAGCTGCCAAGGCGGTGCTAGTAAATGATTAACCCAAACACCGAGAGACGGAACTCACTCGCCGGGCTCAGGTTTCATCACGGGGTTTACGTCGGGTACTAGTCCAGTTTAAAAACTTGGCCTGGATGTTTGAGAAAATGAAAAGCGATTCCTGTAGGGTTGGCCTTGGCCGAAACTGTGAGAATTTAAGATAATCTTGGGGACTCTTTCCGCACCTTCCTCCTCCTTACGGTGTCTGCCCCCAGCCCTCAGGAGTGCAGCGCTCTCATTCTGATCCATTTCACCAAAAGAAAACATTGACCTTGAGGATGTGAGTGCCCGATGAACACAGGCCCCAGCTCAGACTCCAGCCCAGCTTGGGCAGAGGCCTGACCCTCTCTGAGCTGCTCTCTATTCATTCATAAGTAGGGAGGTCACTCTTGTACTGTGCTGTGAGTGACCAATGGGGCAATCCTGTGTAAACTGTAAAGCACTGTATGAGCGACATATTATTATTATCTGTGCCACCAGTGTTTTCGTATTAGCAGGGGACTGCTGGGACAGTTCTTCATGTAAATGAATTAGTAAATGCTGGGCACTGTTCTAAGTCCTTCATCTGTATTATTTAATCTACACAATAACACTGTGAGGTAGAGATGATTGTTGTCAGCCCATTGGACAGATGGTTAAACTGAGGCCCAGACAAATAACTTGCCCAAGGTGGCATAGCTAGCACGTGACGGAGCAGGGATTGAACCGCAGTAATGCAGTTCTGGGGTCCATGCTCTTAAGTCCCATGCTGTTCTCTTAGGAAATGGATCCCTGGTATTAAATGTAACACAAAGGAGTTAATCCTAATAATCAAATTTTAGCTGTCAACGAGAAGATGCTTTCAGTCAAGCCTCTGTCCTGAACATCCCCATGCCCACTGGCTCTGCTTTAGGCTGGGTCCTGGGTGCCAGCACCAGTGCCTGCTGCCAAACCTCCAGCCGGGACCTCTGCCTCCAGCCAGCCGGCCTGTCCCTCATCCATTCTCCAAATGGCAGCCAGAGTGGCCTTCAGAAGCACAAGCCAGGTCATGCCACTCCCCAGCTTAAAATTCCTTAATGGCTCCCACCCACTGCCGAAAGGATGAAACCTCAATTTTTGAGCAACGGCGCAGAGGACTGAACCGCAATCTGTCCCCTGCCCACCTCTCCGCCCTGGATGTGCCCTCTCTCCACGTGAGCCGCAGCCACGCTAGTTACTCGGAGTTCTCTGAGCCTTTCGGCCTCGGCTCACACTTCTTCCAGAGCATCCTGCCTCTTTCAGGACCCAGCTCGTCTCCCGGGGCCACAGCCAGTGAAGCCTTCCCTCCCTCCCCGGAGAGGAATGACCACTTCCCTTCTGTGACCCCAATGCACCCCGCACTCAGTGCTCCTCCCACCCCAGCACCTCCTACACCGTGACGTTACTACACTGAGATGTCCCTATGACCATGTTTCTCCTTTTCAGCTAAGCTGGAAGGCAGGTGCCATCTCTAACCTTGGCACCAAGCTCAAGCCCTGGCACCTAGCTGGCACCCACGACTTAGTTGTCAATGGGTGACTAATGGTCACAGGGTCTTCTGTCACTTCCTTCTTGCACATTCCACCATAAGCTTTCATGAGACCCTCTCTGCATTTTCCCAGCTTCCCACTGACCCTGTATTCTGGACGAGTCAAGTCCCAAAGAAATGTCTCTTTGTACCCGCAGCTGGTGAGGCGGTCAACAAACTTATCATGTTCTTCCTCACTCTCCAGCCAAAGGGATGGGTTGAGAAAGGGGTGGCAGAAGGAGGACAGACTCCAAGAATTCAGACTCCCAACCTCACACTTGCATAACAGCTCTCTGGATAACAACCAGTTTACAGAGAGTCAATCAAAATACAGAACCACCTTGCCATTCAAAGCCCTGTGCAGTGGCTGGGCTGGGAGAGGGAGCCGGAGACCTAGACTAACAAAGGCTGCCATTGACAGAGAGGGGAAGAGGACTAAGAATTGAAGTAGACGAACAGGAATTTAGACTTACAGATAAAGACTTCCCCCAAGATCTAAACACCCCTGTTCTTGCTGAAATCTACACTCCTTTGGCAAGATCTGTGTAGATAAACAGGATTTTTACTTTAGGAATCGTGTAAAAATGAGCAGTTCACAAGGGCAATGGCGGGTCTTGGCTGAGCAAACACAGGCTCAACACTGTGCACCTGTGTTGAGAGGGCCTGGAGCTGGGTTTGCATATGGCTCTGCGTAGGGAAGAAGAAATGAAACGGCTATGAGTGTTTGCAGGGCGAGAGAAGGGGCTCCTTCTCCCTGCTCCGGAGTTTTTTCAGAGCCTGTCCTGGACACGGGGCCCTCGCCAGCCACCGGACCGCCTGAGCCCAGGGCCGTCTGGGAGGACCGCCCATCCTACGCCAGAGCCCTGCTGTCCCCGAAAGCCTCTCCAATGACCAAGCCCTGTTTCTTGAGCTGGGAAGCTTCGGGAACCTCTCCGGAGGCTGTGGAAGCAGGCCGCTTCCCTCAGAACAGTGGTTTTCAAACTGTGTTCCAAGGGACCCTGGACTTTCCAAAAAGTCCTGCCTTGAAATCAGTGGACGCTCAGGCTGATGAACAGCCGTAGCGGCCGTCTTTAGCCCTTGTTCCCAAAGCGTCTTGTTCACTCACACAGCCTCACGGCTCTTCTAAATTACCTTTGATGATACATACACCTTTTATCCACTGTATCGCTTATAGTTACAATCTCATAATGTGTAAGGTTGCACTTGAAATTTTTATTGCTTAAAAAATAAAGAGATGGCAACCCCTTTCCCTGGCTCTCCCGAGTCCTCTAACCCCGAGTTGCTTCCCCTTTTTGCCATGTACTTTTTATGGTCTGATACCTGATAGATATTTTTATGTATTTATTATTTATGGTCAGTTATTTTTTGTTGTCTGTCTTACCCATCCAGACTGTTAATTCCAAGAAGACAGGGTGCTTTGTCTATTTCATCCACTGATACATTCACCTGTAAGCACCTCGAATAGCGCCTGGCAAATAGCAGAGGCTCCATAAATGCCCCTCGAATGACTTCACTTTTATTTCCAGAGTGATTGGTGGAATGTGGATTGGCAAAGCTCCTCCAGGACCCAGAAAGCAAGAGCTTAAGAATATCAGTCTGGCCCTGGCCGGTGTGGCTCAGTTGGGTGGAGCATTGTCCCATAAACCAAAAGGTCGTAGGTTCGATTCCTGGTCAGTCCTGCTCAGGGCACATGCCTAGGCTACAGGTTCCTGCCCCAGGTCACAGTACACGTGAGAGGCAACCCTCGATGTTTCTCTCTCACCTGATAGTTCCCTCTGACTCCCTTCCCCTCTCTCTAAGGCCAATGAGCATGTCCTCTGGTGAGGATTAAAAAAAAAAAAGAATTATCAGTCTAGAGCTTGACCAGAGGATGGCTCCACTTCCTATTTCTCCCCACCAAACCCTTCCTGCCCTCGGAAACATCACCTGAGTATTTGTCAGGGTCACACTGGTGACAGGAAGTCTCTCCCTTGTTCGAATAAGAGTTTTCTGGACAGACTTTGCAGAAAGAGGAGCCCTGCTTGTCTGCGTACGTGCCGGGTTTGCAGGGGAAGCATTCGGACGTGTAGGCCACCCCTGGGAAGGAAGAACAGAGACCAGCAGAAGTTGAGCCGAGAGACTGGGACCCCTGGGGACTGACCCCCGCCCTCCCCCTGAAGAGTCACAGGCCACAGACCCCAGCCCCCCTCTCCATACCTGTTATGGCGATGTTTCTCACCAACACAGGCTTGGAAACTTTGGACCACACTGAGAAGGCTGTGGTTCTCCAATAGAGGACATTATTGCCTCGATTAAGCTCTACCTGGAAACCACGGACGGAAGAGTTAGCTCAGCCTCAGAGGCAGATCCTCCTAAAGCCCTGGATTAGCCTCTCGCTGGGACCCCTCCTCCTCAGTCTGCATGGCAGTGCCTGTTCCGATCCTCCCCCTCTCTCCCTCAGCTTTGCCCTTCCTCCCATCTTGGCGTAGCTCCTCTGTCCTTCTAAGCCTCCTCTACAATCCTCTCCCACCCTTCCCTGCTTCTCCCTCAGTCTCATACACCATGAGCGTCTCCATGGCGAGACCGATGGAGGGACGCGGAGGCACTGACCATAGGGTGGCTGGAATTCCCTCATTCTTCTCCGGTTCTATTCATCCACGCCTCCCCCACCCCAGAAGACCTGGTCCTTAAAGCCGGAGAGCTGCTGACCCTTGGGATCAAGTCCTCGGAGCTACCCGTCAGCCCACACCCTACTCCGGCAGCTCAACAGGAGAGAAACTGACACGCTCCTCACCGTGTCAGACCCCCGTCCTCTAGGGAGAGGGGGCGGAAGCCCAGAATGGGAGGAAGCACGCCCTGGAGCAAAGGCCCTTGGTCCCTCCTCTGGGATTTCCAGGAAAGGCTGGCATCTCCAGGCAAGGGTGCAGGAAGGCTGGTGTGGTACTCACGCTGTGGAATTCCCAGCTTTTCTCTGTGGTTCTCATCCACCTGGAGTCATCCACGCTGGGCTGGCACTGGTCGTTCTGGACCTGAGGCGGCAGGAGTCTGGGATCAGAGTCTCAGCCTTCTGAGGAGATGGGTGCCTTCCCCCACGCTGCAGCAGCCTCCCAGGGGCCCCTCCTTGTGGGAGAAGAGCTGCCCATCCCTCTAGGAACCAGAGCTCAGAGCACAGGAGCCTTGAAGGAGGGCAGGAGCTCGTCACACACACAGAGAAACAGCTTGTAACTCAGAGGAGCCGTCACATGCGTGTTCACGTCTGAGCAGGGAAAACCCAAGGGCCTCCCGCACCCTACTCTTCCCCCTCGGAGTCCCTTGCCTCTTGAAGCCTCGGCACATCTTGCCCACAGTTCTCTCCAGAGACAAAACGACTGTGGAAATTCCCCGAGCAGGACTGCGCTGGTGGCCCCTGAGAAGTCTGAGCCACAGAGAGTCTTTGCCCCCCACCCTCCCCTCGGCCAGGGGCTTACAAAAAACTCAAAGATGATGCTGGAGTCTGGGTAGTAGTACTCAAAGCTGACGGTGCCCGACTGCTTCAGGTTGACGGCGTACATCAGTGTGGCCGTGCACTCGTCCGTGTTGGAGGCGATGTAGTCGCCCAGGGGAACCCACTTGGACCTGTGGGTTGGAGCAGGGGCCCAGTTCACCGTCAGGGGCGCGGCCCATCAGGCTTTGTGTGACCTTCTAGGTCTCGGGGGGAATCCTAGGGTTGTGCTTCACAAGCAGAAGCTGAGACCTGAAAATGCTCAGTAAAGAATGACCTCCAGCCCTGGCTGGTGTGGCTCAATGAGTGCTGGCCTGTGAACCAAAGGGTCGCTGGTTCGATCCCCAGTCAGGGCACGTGCCTGGGTTGTGGGCCAGGTCCCCAGTGCGGGTACCTGAAAAGGCAACTGCACACTGATGTTTCATTCCCTCTCTTCCTCCTTCCCATCCCCTCTGTCCAAACTAAATAAATATTTTTTTCAAAAAAAGCATGACCTCCTGACCAAGGAATGAACAAGAAGTGCCCCACGTTATGCCCCCTCTAAGTCACTGTTTAGTTTGAAACCAGCTAAGGTCTCCAATGATTAATAATGCCCCATTGAGGGGACCTCAGCTCAGTCCGCTGGTTTCCCCTCTGTCTGTCAGAATAACACGGTATTTCCAGTTCTTCAATGGTTAATGGGATTCTCGGGTGGAAGCATACCCAGCATTCCTGGGCTGAGCTCCTCGGGGACACGCCAGCCAACCTGATGGTGCTGACTGACTTCTCCCATTAACAGAGACAGCGCTCAGTGCGGACGTGCTCCGCAGCATCCGCTATAAATAACTCCTGGAGGTGGAGGATGAATAATTAAAAGGATGTCATAAGTGGGTTACATTTGCAAAGTGCATCGCCATTCTGGTGTTTGTCAGAGCTGTCCCTGGCGAGGATTGTTTCACGTTCAACCGGAGCAACACGGCTCCACTGACTTCTAGTTCCGGGCGTGGCTCCCAGCGCTTCACCCATGCCGTCTCGTTTCGTCCTCACCGCAGCCTCGGAGAGGAGCCCTATTTTTTAAGACGAGGAAACCGAGGCACGGAAGTGCCTGGGAAACGGGCTCGCGGCCAATTAGTGGTGACCTGCCCATACTTGCTTTGTTCTGCCATGGCCCTGGGGGAAGAGGCACGTTTTCCAAGAGGAATTCTCACATGGCGGCCACCCAGACACCCGGCCTGGCTCTCGCTGGGTGGCACTGTGTCAGAAGTCCAAGTTAGGGAGGAGAAACTGCACAGGAAAACTTAGGAGGCTTCCAGCATTTGAAGCCCTTTCTAACGTTTACGTCTCTCTTCCTCTCATTCCTGTTTCATCTTCCCACTCCTTGGGCTTCGGTCTTTCCTTCTCCGCTGACGCAGGACAGCCCTTCTCTGCTACTCCTCCTTCACTGCTATTCCCTCTTGCTTGTCCCAGTCCCGGGTCTAAGGACTGTCTCCAGCCCCTTGGTCCTGGAACATTCATCCAGGGACCAAGGAGGAGCCCCCGCCCAAAGCGCAGGATCCTTCCACGGAAACGCGTTGGATCGGCCTATTTTGTTCCCAGTCATTTATTTCTTGTCGACTTTGTGTCAGATGTCAGATGCTGGACATACAACAAAGAAAACAAGACAGACCTGGCCCCCTCCTTCTCGGAGCTTGCATTCTATGTGTAGTTGAGGAGAGCGAAACTTAACTAATCACAGTTAACCACCTGGTGGTGACTGTGGTAAGTGCCATACGGAGAAACACAAGATGATGCGAGGGTGTAATGGGAGTCAGTGGGGTCAGGGCTGGCTTCTTTGAGGAAGGGAGGGGCCTGAGGGTGCAGCAGGAGTCGGCTAGGAGGAGACTGGGAGAAGAGTGTTTGGAGGCCCTGAGGAGGAACGGAGCACGGTGGCGGCGTGGCCAGAGCCTAGCAAGCAAGAGGGGGGCATTGAGAGAGGCCGGAGAAATGGGCAGAGGCCAGATGGGGCCTGCAGGCGTGGCAAGGCGCTGGGTTTTATTCGAAGAGCAAAAGGAACCCACAGAATCCAGAATTTTCAGCAGGAAAGTACTGTGATTGGGTTTGTGTCTTAAGAAGATCAGTCTGGTGCTGGCCCGTGTGGCTTAGTTAGTTGGGTGTCATCCCGCAAAGCAAAAGGTCGCCAGTTCGATTCCCAGTCAGGTCACATGGCTGGGTTGCAGGTTTGGTCCCCAATTGGGGCACATATGAGAGGTAACCAGTTGATGTTTCTTTCTCACATTGATGTTTCTCTCCATCTCTTTCACCCTTCCTTCCCCTGTCTCTAAAAATAAATAAAATCTTAAAAAAAAAAAAAAAGATCAGTCTGGCTGCTGAATGGACAGTGGCCGGGCAGAGGCTGGTGCCCGTGGAAGGAGGACTGGCTGGGAGGCGTCCGAGGCAGAGCAGGCGGGAGGTGACGCTGGCTGGGGTCAGGTTGGAGGCAGTGGACACGGATTCGCTAAGTGCCAGACACTTGGTATCTATGTACTGGCTCAGGTACTGCCTCTCTGTGGGGTGGTGAGGAAGTCGCAAAACCTCTCTGGATGGCCACCTCCTCCTCATTTCTACAGAGAAGAAACGTCCTTCCCTGCTCCCAGGGATGTCGTGGATGCTTGGAGATCCGGGCCCTTCTGGATCTGTGTCGTGGAAACCCGAGTTATTTCATTGACCAGCCCACATCCTGCCTTGCTGAGGGGTAACGATTTCTGGACTTGCAGTGCGGTCCCCAGAGAGAGAGACCTCTTCTTCGCTTGACTGGGAACTGCTGAGCGAGCCAGGCCTGCCCCTCGGTCGGGTCAGTCACGTCCTCTGTTGGGACCCGGTCGGGGTGGCCGTCTTCGCCCGCACATTCCCTCTCCTTCCGGCGTTAATCCTCTCTAGCTTTGTCTCTGACGCCAGTGTCGTCACGCTAATGATTTTGACACATAATTTGAATTCTAACATAACATTGAACTCAGACTATGAAATGCCTGCTGCCTGACTCTGGCCATGGTATTTCTAGGAGATTAAAGCATAGAATGGGAGACACCGCTCCCAGCATGAGAAATCCAGGTGTAATACAATTGTCAATTCCTTTCTATCCTTTTGATTGCCTCGGCATAATGTATGTACTCTTCTCCCATATTCTTTGTCAGTATTTAACAAAGAGCATTAGACAATTGTCTTTGACATCTATGCATCCCCCCACCCACCCTTCTCCCCTGGGACTGACATCGCCTTGCACTCACTGAATTATTTGCAGGTGGAGGCTTGGAGCAGTAGGAAGGTTGGGACCGCGTGTGAGTTGCAGTCTCACAGGTTGTGGGCTGGGTAACAAAGAACGAGTCCCTTAACCTCCCTGGCAGAGCCTCCATTCCCTCCTCTGTGTAATGGGAACAATCACACCTCCTTCACAGGGTGCTCTCTCGTGAAGGTAATAGAAAATAATACAGGCAAAGCATCCAGAATAGTGCTGAACAACGGGGGACACATCACTTCACTCCTACCCCTGGAATGATGTATCCAAAGATTTTGACAAGGAGAGTTCACCAGCTCTCCAAGCACCCTGGGCTGAGCTTCTCAATTACTGGAAAGATCTCCTTCTGAGCTGGAAAACGTTCTGGGCACCGTGGTCTCAAAGGATATGAAAGATCTCGACCACCGCTGACCAAAGCTCTGGTCCTGCTCCTTCCCCCGCCCCAAACCTATGAACTCCGGTCTGGCAGACCAGTGGCAGAAGACAGCACCAGAACTGGGAAGGTGCCCAGTGCTTTACATGTGTGGCAATCAAGTTGAGGATGTTTGCCCACCCAGAATTCCATGGTGGAACCCCAGCTGGACTTTGTTTTAAGTAGACCGGGTCATTTGACCTTTGGCCATCTTATCTACCTCTCTCTATTCCCCAGGGATTTTTTAAATTTAATTAATGTATTTCTTTTTCTTTTTTTTTTATTTTCGAAGGATAGAAACATCAATGTGTGGTTGTCTCTCATGTGCCCCACCCTGGGAACCTGGCCTGCAACCCAGGCATGTGCCCTAGACTGGGAATTGAACCAGCAACCCTCTGATTCACAGGCCCATGTTCAATCCACTGAGCTATACCAGCCGGGGCTAATTAATTTATTTTTAGAGGGAGGGGAAGGAAAAGAGAAAGAAAGGGAGGGAACATCAATGTGTGAGAGAAACACCGATCGGTTGCCTCTTGTATGCGCCCCAACTGGGACCAAACCTGCAACCCAGGCCTGTGCCCTGACTAGGAATTGAACTGATGACCTTTTGCTTTGTGGGATGATGTCCAGCCCACTGAGCCACACTGGTCAGGGCTATTTACCCATGTTTTTCACCTGTCACAAATGCCTGTCCATCACTAGGAAGCTTAGGTCAGTGAATGGGCCGAGGTGGACGGACGTCCCATCCAACAGTGCTGTGGGGACTGCTCCAGCCCTCATCCTGGCAGCTTGGCTCCCTCCTTTCCACCCTCCCTGAGCAGCCTGCAGAGCAGGAGGAGAGTGCTCCTGGGAGTGGGAGCACAGGGGGTAGGAGAGGCCAGGGACGGGGCAACTCACAGAGTGCAGTTCTCGGTGGACTCGGTGGTGCTGTCGTCGATCTCCATGTTGGCCGAGAGGCTGGCGAAGCCGTGCGGCAGCTCGTCCCACTCGTCAAACCGGATGCCCGTGCCCAGGGAGTAGCGGCCCTCTGCGCAGGGCTTACACGACTGGTCCTTCATGTCCAGAAACTCCCCGGCTTTGCAGGAAAAGGCTGGAACACAGGGCAAGGGCAAGGGTGGGCTGGTGAGGCTGCTGCTGCCCCAGAGGAAGTGAGCAGGTGGTGGGCACCCTGAAGGGAGGAGCAGAGGATGGAGATCTAGGTGGTCAGCCCACTAAGATTTAGGGCCATGCACGTCTTGTCCTGTTCCGTTAACATGGACTGTCCCGGCAGGGAAGTCCACAGAGACAGACCGGAAGTTTGGAAGGGCCAGGGACTTGGGGGAGGGGGCATGGGAGAGACTGACTGCTGATGGATTTGACGTTTCCTCTTGGGGTGGTGATGGTTATGTGACTCTGTGAATATTCTACAAACTAGTGAATTTTACACCTTAAGGGGGTGAATTTTATGACATGGAGATCATATCACAATGAAGCTGTTACTTAAAAAACAAAGAGAGTTAGGGCTGTGGAAGCTCTGCTTGCTGAGAAACTTGGCTTGTCTCTGTGACTGTTGTTTCCCAAGGGAGCAGCCTTGCCCATTCAGAGACAGCCCCGGGGAAGAGGACACCGTGGTCTCTCGGGCCGACCTCTCTGAAAGGCACTGGCCCTTCAGCCCTGAATTTCCCCCCTGAGTCTCTGGCCTCTGTTTCCTTTCTGGTTCCCCGGCCACCAAGCTGGTTGGGATTCCCGTGGCCTGTTCGCTCAACCTCTGCAGTGTCCTCCCGACTAGTTCCCTGTTTCTTGTTTCTGCTCATTTCGTGGTCAGGAGTACCACTCTGAAACCCTGGCGCATGCTATTGCTCCTGCTATTTAAAAAACAACCAGGTACGCCCCTTTAGTTATGGAACGGAAGCTCTCAGCCTGGCACTGTCTTCCCCACGTTCCCCCAACCTATCTTTCCAGCTTATCTCCCGCTACAGGCCTTTCTCCAACCCAGCCCCATCCGTCACCCTGCCCGTGTCGCCTTCATCCCGGTCATGTGCTCGTCTATCTCCACACTTTTGCTCAAGTGGCTCTGATCTCTAATAAGTACCCAGAGCTCCCATTCTTTCTCCCCTCGTACTAACACATCACATTAACGGGAGCCTGCCCCTAGGCTCTGAGCTCCTGCAGGCACGGTGGCTCCGTGGCTGACACAGACACAGCAGGAGCTCCAGAAGGTTTTGCTGGAAAATGAGTGGATACACGCACATAGGAGGGGCCCGCTAAAGTTGGCCTCGCTCACTGAAGGTGGCTCACTTGTTTCCGTGAGTCACGCCTCAGTTCTGCTCAGAGCTGAGCTATATTATTCATTTGTTAATTGAACACGTGTTTATTTGCTCGCTGACTGACTCGGACACTAGGCTCAGCTCAGTTTAGAATTTAAATGCCCTCAATCTCCTATCCAAATCTTCAGGTGTTCCTTGATTATAGTCCCTGGTTTTCATTGTTGCCCCCTTTGCGTGTCCAGAAAGAACAGTGCGGGGGATGAGCTGCCAAGTGCAGAGGAGTCCTGGCTCCGGACTCACAGAGGTGGGCACGGGCGCTGCGGGCAAGTCATGGCCCCCCCCAGACCTCGCAGGCAGCTCCACAGTCGGGAAGGTTCCTGTCCCCTGAAGTGAAGCCCAGTGCATGTTAAAGGTCTGTCTCTGCAGAGATTCATCTCCTCTGGCTCCCTTTTCAAGAATGAAAGCATACCGCCACTTTTCCTAACCACCGACTGTGGCTGGTGAGGGTAGACTGGAGAGATGCACAGGCAAAAATGAAAATATACGCACACTGCAGAAAGTATCTGAGTGGCACCCAGCTGGAGCTACTCATACACTATACCCTAATGGGACTTAAATTTAAAAAAGAAAAAGAAAATTCAGATCCCAGTTTGCATCTGTGAAATAACATTTCCGCACCAAATCTCTACAGGGTTGGGGATGGGGACTCACGGGGGTGGGGGGGAGAGGTCTGATTCCTTAAGTTAGGAAGGGCCTAGCTTGCATGGCAGGGAGCTTGGGGAAGAGGTCAGAGCTGAGTGAAAGGGTGGTCCTGGAGCGGGATGGCTGCTTACAGCACTCGGTGCCCTTGACGGGGTCGGGGAGACTGGTGCACAGGCCTGGGGTGTGCGGCACGGCGACCCTCCACCTGGAACCTGTGCTGTCACACGCGGTGTACTCGTAGTGGTACTCGGACTGCAGGGGAGAGAACAGTCAGCACAAGGCACATTAGCGGTGACCAGGCAGTAACAGCATCTCACCCACTTTCTGCCTGGCGCCCGGGCTACTGATCCCCATTGACCAAGTAATGGGCCCTGGGGCCCAGTGGGGAGCAAGGCATCATGGGAGCCCTCATTATTTGGACCATTCCTCTGCACCCAGTCATTAGAAATCCCTTCTTTTTCGTTTCTTTCCTCTCTCTCTCTCTCTCTCTCTCTCTCTCTCATTCTCTCATTCTTTCTTTCTCTTTTTTTTTGGCACAGCTCTCTTTGCTGTTGTGAATAAGTAATGCCCTGGTATACCAGAGGATTGTGGGAAGGTAACTAAAGAAGAGGCTAGAAACAGGTGGAGTTTTTCTTATGCCAAACTGTTGACTTTATGGGCAAGGACTGGTCTGTGAAGAACTTCCAAAGGATTGCCACAGAAGCTGTGCTGCTTTTTCCCCTGTATTCTTCATGCTCCCTTCTGCCCAGAAAGACTATGTATTCCACCGCCTGTTTTAAGAAAACATCATATTTAGCCCACGCAGGTGCTCATCTCGTGTGGGTCCTTCATGCCCGACTTCTCTATGCAATGAGAAGCTCATGGTTCATTGCTTTGCCTCCAATAAGAGTAAGCTAAGTAACAGCAACAAAACAACAAAGGATCAGCCAGTAAATAGAACAACAAAAACAATAAAAAGCACTACTTGGGAGAAAGAAAACAGAATGGATATGCCAACCACCCCTAAACATTTATCCTTTTAAATCTTGTAAGAAACAATAGAACACACAATTCATTTGATTTTGGCTCTGATGAATTTTTGCAGTCGGCGCTAAAACTATATCCAAGCTCAGAACTACTTTGCATTACTACATCCATAAGAAGTATGGGTTTAATGTCCCCGTTCCACCCATATCAAAGCATTGTTGCATAACATGTATGAATGCAAGGAGCTGAACCTAAAAATGAGACGTCAATGTCAGGATGCATCCAAACCGAAAGGAGGAAGCTTTACCTTTGGAACTGGTGAGCATGCTGCATTTCATCTGTTCTGAGATGCCTGTTTCTTTTGCATTTTAACGTCTGTGAAATCAAGATGTTTGGCTTATAACTGACACAGTGAAGAAGCATTGTGTCCTATTTTAACGGACAGAGCCTTCTCATCCTTTGTGGCACCTAAAAACTGCTGTGCCTTAGAAGCAATGGCATCTCAGACTTGTGGAAATATGATGAACATGTTTCTCCATCTGCAGTTTTAGACACTTAGGATGATAAGAGAACAATTGTAGAGCTTCATTTGTATTTTCCTTTTATTATAAATATTTACCAACTACCGTATTTTGCCATGTGTAATGCACACTTTTTTGCCCAAATTTTTGAGAGAAAAATAAGGATGTGCACTATACCTGGGTATAATGATTACGTACCATGGACATAATAATGGGTATAACAATCCTGTGTATAATGCACACCAAAATGTGGGTGCACATTATACATGGCAAATACGGTACGTATTGTATGCCCACCACTTATAGGTACCAGATGGTGTGTCAGGCGTAGCTCAGGACAGTCTCAGAAAACTCAGCCCTTTCATCCAGAGGGAAAGGATGTAGAAGACAAGGGGGCAGTTTGGGGAGCTGTGAGCCTAACTTTGGATGAGAATTTTTGGCTTTGCATATAGATGTCAGTGTCCCTAGGAAAGAAAGAACACCCGGATGGGAGTTCTTTGTGCCTTCGGCTAACATCTCTTGGGGACCATTTCTCCTCATAAATTCCAGTCTTTCTGTCCTTTCAGAGGATACTGAAATAAATAAGGCAGTTCCACACAGATGAGTGGCAGGTCTAAAACTGACGTTCTCCAAAGGGTTTTGCTGCAAGAGTGAGGGGTAACGTCCATAGCATGCACACGCAGCGGAGGGCGGAGTAAAGCCACAGAGGGTTCGGTGTTCCGCCTGTGAACACACTCATGCTGGGCATTCGCGGAGTGTTTCATTTGTGAAAACAAAGTGAAGGTCCTGTGGTATGTCGTTATGTATTCTGACCTTCCTGTTCTACGTTTGAGGTCACAAACATTATATCTTATGTCTTTAATGGTGGTGCCATAGTTGCTTTCTTTCTTAACTTTGTTTTTATTGTCTACACTATTACAGATGTCCCATCCTCCCCTTTCTTTGATCATTCTCCTGTTGTTGGACATTGAATTCAGTTTTTCCTTGTTTTAAATAGAACTATAATGAAACGTTCTGTGTATCACTGGTTATTGCCTTGGAATAAACTTCTGGAAGCAGAATTACTAGAGTTAAAGAGTATGAGTTTCCTTAAGATTTTTGATCAAGAAGACAGATTTCTAGAGAAAACACATATTTCTAAGTCTCTTTCTTGTACGTGTTATAGTAAATTTCAAGTATCTATTATTAGAAGCCAGTATAATGCCCCTCACGTACTCACCACCCAGTGTCAATACTTACCAATTTCTTCCATTCTTGCTCATTTTCCTCCACTCATGTCTCCCCACTTGAAGTTATTTTTTATAGGTTTTGTTCTTTTAAGGTGAAATTTGTATACACTGAAACCCACAGCTCCTAACCGTACAATTCAAACAGGTGGATACACTTGAGTGGAACCCCAAAGGGGCTGAGCATCACTGCCCAGCGGCTGCCGGGGAGAAGGGGACGACCCCTGCCCCTCTGCCGCACAGACAGAACAGACCGAATGCAGCAGGTGTCACCTCCTGCTTCTCAGAGTCACAGAGCCGCTGCTGTGGGAAGTCACCGCCACCTGGGGAAGCAGGGGACCCACACCACTTAGGTTTGTCTTGGCTGGGACAGGGCCCGAGTCACGAAGCAGGTTTTCAAGGAAACCCAGATTTTGGCTCCGAGGCCTTGGGGGTCCAGAGGAGGTTGCTTCCCCCAACTGCAGGCTCTTCCCCATCTCCTCGCTGTCCCTGAAAAGCAGATCCTTTGGGGACGATGCCTGGGCAGGCCAGGCCGGGCCAGGCCAACACCCTGCGCTGGGCACACTGGGATCAGCAGGTGTTTGCCGACTCGGCTGCAAACGCCTCTTTGCTCGGAAAGCACCCGACTCGGACAGGAGCAGGTCCCATTCCACCGTCCCCACTGCCAAGGAGAGGATAGACCTCTGCTGGGGGGCAGCCATGAGTTCCGGAACTTATCGCAGAACTTGGGAAACGGCGGAGAATGTCAGAATTTGAACACGAGACTTTCTCTTAGGCCCAGCCCTGGCTGGGTGGTTTCCCGGACTCCTGTTCTATTTTGTTTTTGTTTTGCTTTGCTTTATTTTCGCTTTCGGAGTGCCCTCCATCAGGTTTTGGTTTTGGCTGAGGCTCAGGGCACAGTGACCTCGCTTTGTCCCGCTGGGAAGGGTAGGGTGGAAGGCACGGGACCCTCCCTACTGTTCTGCAGCCGCCCAGACTGGGGAGGGCAGCGGGCCTTCTCCCTCCTCGCTCCCTCCTTCCCAGCCTCTCGAGAACTGCCGACTCAGTAGCAGGGTCTCCCGAGCCCTCGGGCCCAGACACCCCAGCCCAGAGCTCTGCGGCCCAAACCTGCACCTGTCAGGTCATCACAACTGCCTGGCAATCACGTTAAAAATAGAGTCCTGGGCTCCACCACCACGATTCCGGTTCTCCTCTGGATCTTTTCTGTTTCCTCCCACTTTTCTGTTTGCCTCAGGACTTAAGTATGGATCCCACTGGGAAGCACATCAGATAAACCAATCTCCCATGAGACGGGGGTCCTTCATCTACAGTCCCTGGACCACTTCCTCCACACAACCCAGTGCAGAACTTTAGGTATGGGGGAGGGGAGTTTTAGTTATGTGCATCTTTCTGAGCACAGGGTCCGCAGTTTTCATCAGATCCTCTCAGGAGTCTGTTATCTACCTTCCTACACACAGAAAAACATTAAACTGTCATAATGTGTTAGTCATTTTAAAATAGCTTAATATTTTACCAGCCAAAGTCTGTTCACAATAGGGGACTGAAACACTTTAACACAATGATTTTCAAATTATGCTCCTGACTCCAGGGGTTTAGAAAGCAAGCCCCTCTGACGGGTAGGGGTGGGGGGTTCGGGATTCCCACCCCGCCTGTAATGGAGCGACGTCGTTTCTTTGGTCTCTTTTCAATCTCCAGTTCTTCTTCTCAGTTAAGATTTTCTTTGAACCAAAAGTTTCACACATGAGAAAAGTTTAACACCACAGTCTTAAGAGCAAATTCCTCTTAACCGTGGAATTGTAGGCACCAAGGCGGACTCAGGGTCCAGGATACCTTTTGGCCTTCACCCCACAAAGTTATTTCTTTTAACCTGCAGGCAACGCCCCTCTCTGCCAGGGCATCAGACCAGCAGGAGGCAAAACAAATGACCGCAAGCAGCCGGCCCCTGCTGATGGTCCTCTGCTGGTGGGCTGTTGCCTAGCAACACAGAGCCAGGCACCCCAGGGCTCCCCAGCTGAAGGAGTATGGGGGAGCCTGGCCTTATATCACCCATGCTTTCCGAGTTTGCTGTTCTATTCTGGGCTTCCAGCTTCCACTTCACTCCAGACCAGCAGAGACAGTGCTCGGTCGGGGCCTGCCTTCCTGGTTTGTGGCCGCGGACACATTACACAGAGCAGATTCTGGGTCTCAGCACCCGGCTGAGGCCATCGGTGTCAGCATGCTCTGGGCTGACCTGTTTGTAACTTGAGCTGCCTGTCCGTTTGGGGCACAGCCTTGGCCTGGCGGCTCCTGGAAGACACTGACAGGCTGATGAGGAGATGGCACTGGTGTGGTGAGGACAGCCATTACTTGTGAGCACGCGGGAGCACCCGTGCACCTGGGCTCGGGGCGCTTTACCTGCTTCTGGCCCCTTGAGCCCCCCAACCCTCCCTGAAACGACCTCTGCTGCCATGACCTCCCTGCTCACAACTGTAACCCACTCCCTCTGTCCCAGGGATCCTCACATCCTGAGTGAGTTTTCTCCGTAGCACTTACCACCCAC